AGTCATTCATGGAATACCTCCTTTTACATAATTATTGTGCCTATTGATACTTCAAGGCTTTGCCAACCACTCCCTCGTACATGCCCTTAAACCCACGCCTTTCCTATCTCAGGCTTCAAGGTCCTAATGGCTCAATAAATGGGGGCTGCTATTATTACTACTATGGCAGACAAGGCCCTGGAGCATAGGATCTGGGTCTAGAAGACGTGTTACCTGGTTGTGTTACTTCGGGTCTCCGTTTCCTCATAGGAAGCAGGGATAATCACATCTCCCTCAGATAATTGCTGTGGTTGAAACGAACACATGCTTTGCAAACTAGGAGGCACAACTGGGTTAGCTATTCTGTTGTTGTTAGTGGTGCCGGAGAAGCCTTTGCTCCCTGGGAAGTGCCCTGCAGTCAGTAGATCCACACAGGCCCATCTCTGTGTGCTTACTGGTTGTATGGCAACAGGCAAAAAAAAAAAGCTCCTGATTGGCGGTTATCAATCCGGCTGCATGCTAGAATCCCATGGGGGAGCATTAACAAGTACCAACCTGGGGCCCCATGTCTTACCAATTACATTGGACCCTCTAGGACTGGGACCTTGGCCTGGGAACTGCAACTTTGAGAACCACTGTTCTTCAACTCCGTGTGATTCTTGGACTTCTGTCAGTTCATCCCATTGACCACAAGATGGTGCCCTCTTTCTGGGAAATCTTTGATGTTCAAAAAACAACAATCCATTTTCTCTATTAATCCTGAAAGAATGGATCTGAATTTAACAATCTGCACAGCATCTCATTAAGCCAGAATTCTGTGCCTGCGGTGTCTAGCCATGTAATGTGCATCTTTTCCCTTCTGCTAGAAACCACACTGGGTTAGGATATATCGTCTCCTGTGTTGCATTCCTCAAGGGGCCATGATGCAAAGTGGAGTAGGCATTTATTGTTGCTTTATAATCATAATCGTGACTATCAATAATAACTAATATTCATTTAATCCTTTACCATTTGCAAAGTGCTTTTCACCAACTATCAGAATAACTTTATGAATTGAGTGTTACCGTTCTCATCTATAAATGAGAAAGCAAAGGCTCAGAGCACTAGTTCAAGGTCACAAAGCAAAAACTGGCAGAATGATAACCAAGCTCTTCCCACTGTACACAGATGAGAAGAGTGGGAGCATCAGAGACATCAACTCCCCACCACTGGGCCCCGACAAGCACAGCCCCGAGAGAGGAAACTTCAGGACAACGTCTGGAAGAATTCCTGAACGAGCACAGAAGACGCACAGATGCCCTCCTAGAGTTTCACATCAGCATGGGTGACAAACAGGTCAGCAGACACGTCTGACCGGGCTGACTGACCAGCTGAGGTGACACACGTGAAGTTTCTAGTGCAAAACTGTTAGAATTAGCAGACTCTCAACAGGAGGACAGATTGTATTATTTAAAATTTTCTGTTCCAGGAAAACAAACTGCTATGCCAATGGGAAAAAAACAAATCTGTCTTAAGAAAAAGTTATAAACTCATCTCCAGAGAAAATCCTTTGCTATCAGCAAGTGATGTCTTATGAGGTTAGTAGGTCCTATGAAGGTCATGTACCAGATCACTTACAGACTTACTGCCAGATTCCCACAACTGGTCAAGAATGCAAACGTCAGAGCCCCAGGACCACAGCCCGTCTGGGTGTTTTTATCCCAGATGAAGGAGCTGCAAGTGAAGGTTCAGGTTACTTGGAGGAGGAAGGCTATTTTCAGTACAGAAACAGTTACATGGAGGTTTATTTAATTAGTATTTTGATCATTGTACTGAGTCCAGTGTACATCTTAGCAATTCAGTCTGTTGTTGTATGCCTCAGCTCCCCTGTCTGTAAATAGTACAATAGAACCTCTCATAGGATTGTTACAAGGATCAAAATAGTTTATTTATAAAGCACTTGGAACCATTCCCAGCACACAGTAAGCCCGATGTGTTTCTTAAGTTAATGTTAAATAAATAAATGGATATGAGCATATCCATTTACCTGCCTTACAAGCAAAATTTTCATTTTTAAAAAAATTCCAAGTAATTTTAAAATTATGTTATTTGCACACTTGTAAATACAGGAAATATATCCAGGGAGATTAAAGTATTGCCTTATGACTAAAATTTGAAATCACACTGAAAATGCATAAATTTGATTAGAACAGTAATATAGTCTTTGGACCTTGTAAATATCAGAAATAGGTTAAAAATTCTTTAAGTCTATCATGTCATTATTATTGATGCTGGCAAAGAAGCCCATCCATTGTCTAAAGAAATACAAGATTAATGCAGTGATCAGATTTTTCTTTTTTTTTAGAAAAGTTTTCCTTTTTCTCCACGTGATTTCTTCTAAACTTGGGAATTAGTGTTCATTTCAGAGGGCGCCCTTGGCATTCTCCCAACTATAAAGACCCTCAATCTGACCCCTGGTCACTTCTTGGGTGAGTGGGAGTGTTCCACAGCATTACTCAGCTCAAATCTCCATCTTCAAGTATAAATTTAAAGCATTAGAGAGAGAAAGAGAAAGAGAGAAAGAGAGAGAGAGAAAGGGAAAGGGAAAGAGGGGAGAGAGAGCATTTGCTCTGAGAGATTTTCTGCAGTCCTGGGGAGAAAGACTCAAATGCTGAGCATGTAATCCGGGCAGGACTCAGAAGAAAAAACACATGAATTGAAATGTTGCTGTCCAACCTAGGGCTCATTTTCATGTCTCACTTTGGCATAATTGTCTTTTAAGTAGAACTACCGTATTGTTTCCTGGTAACAGCTTTTAAGACTTTTGTTTCTTTTTCTTGCAGACTGCTTCATGAAACAGACTTTGGTGAAGAGATGGGATAAAGCTGTACCATTTCCAGCTACCTCCTGATAATCCCTCCTCTGCCTCCCTGGTCCCTAGGCCAAAACATCGACCACCCCATCCCCTCACCATCCCCCTACCCTGCATAAACCCCACTCTTAGCTCTGCAAGTCCCTTCTACTGTCCCTGTCCCGCCAGGCCCAGGAAGGGGGGCACCTAGAGAGCAGGACAGATGTGGGGACGTGATCTAGGTACTCAGGTAGAACCTGAACTACAGTTTTATCCCACAGAAACTGGATTTTTAAAGGATTCTAAGTTCTTTAATATCAAAATTACAGGGCAGCTACACTGAGGATTCCATAAGCTTCTATGCATTGAGCCAGGGCCCTAACTAACATCACATCACTATTTCTAAGGAAAAATGAAATTCTTGTTTCAAATACCTGATCTCAAATGAACTTTTACAACTACTTGTTATGAGGGGATTATGTCACATAGACCCACACACTCAGGGACAGCTCCTGTTTCTATCCATCAGGCTGTCCACCTGACTGTCTATCCATTCACACTTCCTCTTTATTAAGGAATAGCATAATTGCCAAAGAAATGTGAAAACAAAAAGCTAAGAATGAAAAAATAAAATTAAACATTTTATATTTATTGAGTTCAAAGCAATGGTTCTGCTGTAAATTCATCTTCACTGAGTTAAACAAAAAGAATCACTATTAAAATTGATCTTGTTTTTATAGAGGTGGCATGATATAAGACATACTACATGAGTTGTGTAGTTGCTAGCTGTGATCTCAGGCCAAACTACTTTTCCAGGCCTTGGTTTTCTTATCTATGATTCTATTAACTCTCTAGAATTAATTTTTTTATCTGAGATTTACAAATGTCCAGCAATAAATCTGGCATACAATGGTTATTTCCCATCCTTTCTGCCTTGTAACCTCTTAACTTCTTTTTGAGTTCCCTGTTTCACTTCAATAAAAATATTTCAAAATCACATCTAAGTTTCAGAAGCCTTGACTTAAATGTTTCTCCACATTTGGGTACCCTATTCACCCATCTGATTTCAGTTAATGTCCAAAATGGACTAATATGGATAGATGACTTATAAATTAAATAGGTTCAAAGAGCTTACTTAGTTTGACAACTGTAATCATTTATTTGAACTGACTCACCTGTGCCTGTGCCCACAAAATATTTGATTTTCATGAGACTTCGTGGATTTCAGTTTTTTCTTTCCTTTTTCCTGAAGAGGGATTTAGACTCTTGTAACAGCCTCAACTAAGGTTCTTTCTGTGACAATAGTTAGTAAAGTTAGGTTATACTTGAATGAGTCAAGGAATGACCTCAAAGGAGGACAAATCAGATTTTATTTAAGTAGGTTCGTCAAGTGGTCTTTCCTTTTTACTATCAGGCCCATTGCACCACAGCAGCAGAGGCAGGGGTAGGAGCAGCATCCTGCGACCAGAGGAAGATGCATATGAGCAGCGGGGAGGAGCCGAGGTCCCCATGGTCCTGTAGCCTCAGGGGAGCAGGAGTCCACTTTGTAGCCTGGTGTGTCCAGGACTCTGCCCCTCCTGACACTCTCTCACTGGTCCCCAATTCCTGGTGTCTGTCCTTCTGGCTGTCAGAGTTGGGGAATCTGCCTGTCAGTTGGAATTTGACACCCTTGCTCCTTATTCTATGGTGTCATAATCCTTGATTTTTTTCAGGCAACTCTGTGTCCACTGGAGATCAGGTCCCGCCTGCCAAGCTTGAACTCAGGGTGAAAAACATACTCCCTGTCTAAGGAAGTCTGAAGGCCTAGGAGATTCAGTATGATTTATAGCCCCCTACAATCACACGGAGAAGTCCACATTCTAAAATGTTACTGACTTTAGTTTAAAGTAAGACCAGAAGGCTTTCTTTATTTTGAAGTGAAATTTGGGTTTTCTTTTCTCCTGTCTTATAAAAGATGTTTCTATCGTAGGGCTACCATGTAGCCAAAGCTCAGAGATGTCCAGGCATCCTGCATTTACCGAGTGTGTGTGTATTCAAGGTTCATTCAGGTGGCTTAATAAGAAGCCAAAATATCTGGTCCTACATTCACCTTCAGGGTGCTGATTTTAATTTTGTGGTGCAGAAATAAGGCCAAATAAATAGGCAAAATGTACACCTAAGAATAGCTTTAACTTACTAATCCACTACATCTTCAACAGCAGTTTCAGATAAAAATGGTCCAAAGGACAAAGTGCATAATTAATGATGAGAAAAATGATTCCTGCAAGTCCCATAATAAAAAGTTCTCCCTGCGATAATCATTTGCCCAGAGTTTTATTCATGCAACAGTGTCGGTTACTTCTTGCTTCGGTCTCCTTCATTCCAGTACTGTTCAGTCTGCATTTCTGTGAGCCGGGAAACTGTGCGCTGAAATGCAAAGATTTCCTCTTCTCCAGTAAACATTGAGAGTCCTTCCGCTGAGTCCTGGATACCAAAACACAAAACAAAACAACAATCCAGCACCAATTAAAACCACTGACCTAAAATTTAAAACACTAAACATAGGCTTAAAAAAAATGGAGGGAGGTTACTTGTTTAGATTATAAAATATTCTATAAATTTTTTTCACATACAATCTCTTAAATTAGACTAGAGAATCAACTAATCTAAACCAATAATCAATAAACAGAACAAATTACCAAGGAGAAAACAATAGGGAAAACATTCGAAGAAAAATTAAAGCTGAAACAACACTCCAAAATCCAAATAAGAACATTTTTGCTCAGATGAAGTCCCCTACAAACCTAAAGGAAGGACATTCCAGAGAGAAAAGGAATTCTTTCTCAGAAAGTGCATGCCAGAAACAAGTAATGGCAAAACCCAGCAGTTCTGGCAAGTGAGGAAGAGGCTGACCCTCCCTGAAGCTTAACAGACAGGGCCACGTTCCCGAGGGGCGGCCTGAGGACAAACCTTTGAAGAGCCTTTTCCAAACTGAGTGACTGACTGCGAGCCTGGAGATCGTGTTTGGGAGCTTACTTTGGGAAGGCCAGAGCTGCTTGTGGTCTTGAGCTGCTGGGACACTTGATCCTCCCATCAAGGGTCAAGTCGGGGAGCTCTCTGTGAGGTCAGTAAACAGCCTGGCACTGGTGATTCCAACATGGGCTTGTGGCCAGTAGGTGGGTGTTGAATTTTTGTCTCTTTCCTTAGGGGTTTGCTGTTACACTCTTTCAGGGAGAGGTTCTGGACTCCAAAGTCCAAGTTACTGATCCACTGTAAAACTGCATGACCCCATAGTCACGTGCACTGATTTCCTCATAATGTTATTAGTCCCAAATGCTAGGCTTACTTTGCCCTTTATCTGAACCCTGATCCTAGGAAGAACAATTTAAGAGTCGATGATTTAAACGATTTTAGAAACTGAGATGATGTAGCCCCTCAAGGGTATTCTTCTAAATTGTCAAAGATATTATTTGGATATAATTATTGCTCTTAGAGAAATGGGATTATAAGCAGCTATTTATTTCTACATGTAGATTTAAATAATCATATTTTGATAGCTCACTTCTAAAAGAATTATTGGCTTCATTTCCCCAAACTCCCAAGAATACATTATTTACGTCAGTTCAGTAAGAAACTGTTTCCTCATTCCAAATGGCCTTTCACCTCTCTGCGGTTGAAAGAATGAGGCTCCCCTCATTCTGGGGGTGTTTATATAATTATGACTAATATTTCAATTGTCTACAGTTGAGAACTATAATCCGGTAACATTCATCCAGAAGAAGGAAAAAAAGTCACTTTGTGGCCTGGGGTGAATCACCAGGCCCTTATGCTTCAGAGTTGGACCAGCATTGGCTGATTCCCTACAGGGTGTCCCCAGAGCCTGGCACCCACAGTTGCTCCATAAATGCTTACAGAATAGGGGTTAGGAGGTGAATTGTGGATTTCTTTTTAAGCCAAGGGCCTGGCCAGGCACTTCATGGTCCTAGGAGAGACAGTCCACGTGCTCGGACACTGTGTGGTGCAAACTACAAATCCAGCAGAAGGGAAGCAGGAGACCCAGAGGTCTCACAGTGTAGCAGGAGGAGCCGGAACTAGACAAAGGCACCCTGGCATCCAGCTCTGACCTGCTTTCAGTCAGCACGGTGACCGTGGGCCCATAAGTCCACCTCCCTGGACTTTGTCTTTATCACATGCAAAAATGATCATGAAGATTTCTTCCCCTCTAGGGCAGTAATTCTCCACATTTAGTGATACTGAGAATAGGACTGCTACACTGGCTTTAGAAGAAAGCAGCAAATCCGTGGTTAAATATATACTATAGTCCTTCAAAACGTAGCCATGTATCAAACCAAAAACAATTAAGCTGTTTTATAATAAAAAAGATTATGTTAATATCGCCTACCTGGCTCAGCCCCAAATCATCCATCAGTATTCTGCTTTGCTCCAACTCACTGTCATGATGTTGATGCAAAAATAAGCTTGATATAGGAGTCAATGCAGAGCAAATTACGCGCACCTGAAAGGGGGGAAAACGAGTAAACGGTGTTACTCCTTCCCTTTCACAAGTTGAAGGTAACAACAAATTTCTCACAAAATAAAAACCTGTTTGTCATAACAGGGAGCTTGGATTTTTGCTTTTAAAATGTCTGTATGTGTTCTAAAAATTTGAGTCTCTTTAAAGTGATACTTTTTTTAATGGTTCTAAATACATGCAGCAAAATTGATACTCGGTGAAAATACACTTTTATGAACTCACAGAATGGGTATTTACAAAAGAACAATTCCTTGAACTCCTCTCTTTCAATCTAAGTAACAGTAATAACTATTTCTATTTTTACATATTTTCTCCGAGTTCTATCTCTATTTTGGGAAAAAATATTTAAAGCTTCAATTTATGACGTATTTTTCTTATTTCATTAATCTGTTTTTCTAATTAGAGATTTAAGCTAATTATCCTAAAGTTATCCTAAAGTTACTCTAAAATCTCATTAATCTCCATGTTTAAAAGTCCACACACACAAAAATGCTAAGCAAAATGTGGCTGTCAAAGTTTCAAAACTGGCAGGACACATCTACGCTGTTTCTTCATCACTAATAATAAAAATCTTGTGTAATAAGTGAATACAGCATTTCTTTAAAGTGGATTTCAATATTTGGGAAACTCTCTTTTCTACTTCTGGAATATCTCTGAAACATAAATAGGCCACATAACCCATATTCAGATAGCCTGGGATCACAGATGTTTCCAAATGTATTTTTTAAACAAAGTATTTTTTTAAAAAAAACCTTTTGATCATGTCCATATTTTTTCTAATAGTTTGAGTCTCTTTAAAGTGATATTTTTAAACTGCAAAGTACTTTCCAAATATTTCCACACAGCTTGTATCATCCTGTGAAGTAGGGAACAAAAGGTTTTATTGGCCTTTGGGCCTGGAGAGGTCTCAACTCATGAGGCCAGCTCAAAACTTCCAGTTCTAAGTCCAGTGGTTTTTCCATTACATCTGAGGTTGACATTTTTACCTGACTGACTGGAGCCCATCTCAGTGTGCATCAGAGTTGCTCACCAGATGCACTGTTACCACTTTGCTGCATAGGTGACTGCTAAGTTCAGTGCATCGCTACTCCAATTACACCCTGAGTTTCCAGAACATACATTTATATCAGCATGCTTCCAGTTAGTCTTCAAAAAGTCTAAGCTTTACATTAATACTTCTTGGTTACGTAAGTGTTTGAGTGAGTGTGCATATGTGATCATATATCAGAAACAGTTTTTGTATCTTTATAAATTTTATGTCCACTAGTTTAGATACAAAAAATACTCTTCTTGATATTTTAAGGAGTCTTGAATTTGTTTTCAGGATTCACAACTATCCTTTTAAAATCATTATTCAAGTAAATATGCCAATACTATAAAATAATGTATTGATGTTTGGGACTATTCTTTCCAGATCCAAGTGGCTTTCTACCCGCTCTTATAAATTCTTTTAATCACAAATGACACTTTTTTCATTACTTAGATGGGAATGCCCTTATTTCACAAATTTCCATGAATACATTCTAGAATGATGTCTATTTAATGCTCCCAATTTCTGAAATAAGATAATTTAAACTATGTTTAAAAAAGAATTTGTGTGATTTAGTTAAAGCAAATGTTAGGAGAATGGTTCTGGTATTGAATCATATTGCTAGATAAATCTTTTTTCCTTCTAATTAAGAAGTAGTGGGACGTAGAAATTGGGGGAGGGGGTGGGACTGAGGGATGGGGAACATAAGCTTTCTTTAAGGTATTTCTAGCTGAAAGATTAAAGAAAATAGTTTATCAATCCTCCACTCTAAGAACCACCTCCCAGTGCCCCTCTACCACTTTCTTCTTGAAGCATTACCCTCTAAAAACAGAGTGTTATCTCCAGGAGATTTATTCTGGACCCCACGTGATAATTTCAAAGCAGAGTCTCTGGATGAGTGACCCAGAAGGAGACAAGTGATAGGACTTGAACCTCGAGCTCTAGTGTTCTCAGCTTCCTGCCTCTCCCGATGCTCTGCTCACACCCCTATTGGCCCCCTGAAAGCAGGTGGCAGAGTCTGCTGGCTGCTCTTTGTGCTCAGGCCCATCACAAAGCCTTTGCTGCAAACTTCCCACTCTGCTGACCCCTTTTCACCCTGATGGAGTTGGGCCATCACATCTCAGTGTTTATGAGAAGCACTTGAGGAGCTGGTGAACCAGCAAGCTCCAGGCCACATCCCTGGTCCTCATTTGCTGGTGGGGGTGGAGTGAGCTCTGGAATCCAGATCTTAAGTAGCTATGATGATTCTGGTACAGCTGGTCCTCAGCAGCACTTCCTACCTCCACCCTCCTCACCTGCACAAAGATCCACTCCCCCTGGACTCTCACAGCACCAACTCCCCTCTCTTTCCAAGAAAACATCCCCCAGTGCTGACTTTACTCTCAGTCTGTACACATTTGATTTGTGTTTCTTCAACACTAGACTGCCAGCTCCATGAGGGCAGGCACCGTGTCTGGCTTTCTTTGTCATTGAATCAGCACTGTGCTTTGCATGATAAAGGTTGTGGAATAAATGAATAAAGGAAACGTTAAAAATCTCACCTCTCCCTCCCAGCACATTCTGGTGCTTTCTCCTCCCCTCAAAGTCCCTTCAATTTTAGAATCACTGCTCTATCTATTTCTGTGCAAGGAACAGGGAAGAAAAATGATATCTAACAGTAAAATAATATTTAAATTAATTCTAGTTTGAAGGTGTTTATACTTTACTGTATATACTATTAATAGTGGCTCATCTTCACTGAAAGCTTACTGTATGCCACAAGATGTTCTAAGTACTTCACACACTTATTTAATCCTCACAACATGTTATGAGGTAACTGCTATTATTACTCACTTTTTCTACAGAAGGCAATTCAAGTTCAAGAGGTTAGGCTGGTCTTCAAGGTCAACAGCCTGGTACCAGGGCCCACTCCTCAACCACTAGGCTACTGATGAAGGGAAAATGGCTCTGCAATTCATGCTAAAATACATGAAATTTTTTTTAAAAAAGGGACAATGATAGTTACTGGAGTTTCTGGGTCAAAGGGAGAAAAACTGCAATACTAGGAGGGCTGGCCCTTTGGTCATTCATTCATTTTTCTCATTATTTTACGAGTCTAATAATTTATTCATGCAACAAGTATTTATTGAATGCTCAGTCTAGGTAAGGCACTGTGTTGCACATCCTCACAGACAGCACATGATACGTCTAACTGAATGATGGAATCGCTAACATGGCAGTGCCTTATGACGGGACTTTTACTATTCTACTACTGCTATTACTGCTACCACCAGTAGTCCAGCTTGTGCTGAGTGTTGTTGTAAGTGGTTTACACGGATTAGTCTCTTTTGTCCTCACAACAATTCTATGAAGCAAATACTACTATTATCTCCAATTTGCAGATGAGGAAACAGAGGCACAGAAAAGTGAAGTGAGTAGCAGACCAGGATTCCAGCCCAGGCAACCTCACTTCACAGTCCAAAATGTTTAGTTTTGAGAAAATGTACTACATCCTTACCTTGAAATCATAAAAGTTATCAATGAGAGTTATGAATCTCCGGGCTTGAGTCCTCTTCGCCAGGGTAAACTGTGGAATGTTTCGTAAAAATACTGTATCAAAATTCTTTGACAGTTCCAAATAGTCACTGGCTCCAAGTGGCTATAATGAAAGTAAAATAAAGAGTCAGAAATTAAAATAAGCCAATTCTGGTAGAAAACATCTCTTCTTCTTGTCATGCTGTGATCTAGGCGGTAGTTTGGGAGTAACTTGACCAAATGGGGCAGTGTTTTCAGAGTGGGCCGAGGCCAGTGTACACTGTGTTGTAATAGTGATGTACAAAGAAGGTAAGAGAGAAGAACTTGGCAGGAAGGGAAAGAGTATTCTAGCGACTTCAGCTGGTATCCTGTAGGCCCCTGTCCTAAATCTCATCTTCACTGTCTCTATTTATATGACATAACTTTAAACATGTCCTAACAAAGCCTTCCTATGACTCAAATGCAAACTGTCACTACTGTTAAATGGAGCTATCTTATAATGGTATGCTGAATATTATGTCACTATTTTGAAATAAAGACTATGTTTCAGTAAGAAAAGCATCAGAAAATGTTTTTCATTTAATTTGGGGTACCCAAGTACAATGCAGCAAAGACTGCTAACAGCTGCGGGAAACATCAGAGGGTCTTCATGACCAGAAGCAGACTGAGACCTCAGGCATAACTGCACAGCACTCTACTTCTTGATATGAGAAGGCAGCATTCAGGGCCCAAGAAATCGCTCACAAAGGTGCCACCTACAGATGTAGAGCACTTGTTCCTGAAACATGAATTTAACTCATGAAAATTATGACAACAATATGCAAACACACTTTTTAGGGGTTAGGAACACTCACTCCCAGGAGAGTCACCTCTGCTCGTCTGAAGTTGTGCGTGGATGACTGTACCTGTGAGCAGTGGAGAGAAGAGTGTGTCTGGCCCCGTCAGGGTGCAGAGGAGACTGGAGACTAGGAAGGCCAGGAGCTACTCTGAGGTCCCTCTGAAAGCCACAGCAGATCCCCGTGACACGGATGGCTGAGCCTCCTCAGCTTCTGGCAGAATCTATCTATACCCCTCTCTGTTCAAAAATGTTCCCCTCACTTAGGGAATCATCTGCATTAAAGCTTCTGCTTTCAGAAATGTAGATATGGCTACGTTCCTGGGGGAATTAAGGAACTATGAGGAGAGGGAGAATCATTCTCACCTTAGAGTCCATCCATTTAAATCCACCACTACCCTAATGACCAGCTGAGATCAGTTACACAGAAAACTCACAGAGGTGTGGGCAGTAAGAGTGAATTAGGGCGAAAAGCTCTGGAGAGGTGGTTCCCTCAAAAGACAGCAGTTTTAAGGATGCAGCAACTACGAGCCTAGGGCAGAGGGACACCACACCAGAGAGAGAGCACTGATGCCTTCGGAAATCTGCTGAGAGATGCCCTTTCTCCTTTCTCCTCTCTCCTCTCACCAACCAGATAACACATGGGGCCAGAGGAGATGACCTTGCCTTTCCCATTTCCCTTCCCTGGCTGGAACGCCTTTACCTCCAGACCCAGTGCCTGACCTTAGCGAAGGCTCCCTGCTCACCTCAGCCACACAGGGACTCGAATGTGCGTGTGGTTTATTTTGGTCTAACCTTGACTCTGTCGAGCCTGATGTGGACCAGTAGGCTGTATTAACAGAGTAGATTGGAACAAAGACTCTAGAATGCTTGGGTTTGAGTCCTCAGTCTGTAACTTATTAACAGTGTGTCTCCGGCAAGTTACATAATCTTTCTGTTCCTGAGTCTTCCCATCTGTAAAATGGAAATTGATTTGGATCTCACAGGACTGTGAGGATTACAAAAATAATACACATAAAGCATTCAGCACAGTGTCTGGCACATACATTACCATTCATCCCATTTTGGCTGTTTTTTATTCTTATCTGGAGCTCAACTGATGAGTTGAAGGTGTAGAGAAGTGTCATTCTCAATAGGATCGTTTCTACCACTGACTACATCCAAAACCCTAAATCAGCCTTTGTGCATTTGCCTGAGCTCAGAGTCATAGTAGGGACCAGATAAGATGGTGGAATCCCCATGTAATGAAAACAGTTCCAGAAAGAAGGAGGGGGAAGGTAAGATACAGCGTTGTCCTGTAAAAAGGATAACTCATACAATAAGATACTCATGCTCTGAGGGTGACACACTATTTTTTTGAGATCAGTTAGAATTTAGTGTCTTATCTTTGGTAAATCAGAAAGTATATGTAAAAAAATGTAAAACCTCATCTTAGGTATGTAGTTATGTATAATTAAGCTCACTCTTTAACTACATGCCCAAGGAAAATCATTATCAGAAGTACACTGAAGTGCCTAGGGCAGCTGAAAATCAGAATTTTGCCCACTCAGCTATTTTTACAAATTATACACCTTTGTCAGTAGGCTCTGCATTTGCCATTATACTGGCAAATATCCCTTTCCTTCATATCCCAAAGACAATTATGTGCTCATTCATGTAAAGAAAATTAAGCTTAATACAGTTATTTATCTCTTTTAAGAATAATAGTTATTGGGGGAAGCTATTGTTTAATGGGTATAGAATTTCAGTTTGGGGATATGAAAAGTTCTAGAGATGGATAATTGTGATGGTTGCACAACATATGAGTATACTTAATGCCACTGAACTGTACACTTAAAAAATTATTAAAGTGGTAAATTTTATGTTGTGTATTACTTTACTACAATAAAAAATAGTCATTAAATAAAAGAGAGCTTAATAGTTGCCAAATAAATCACAATTTAGGCCATGGAGAAACAGTAGTATTTCTTTTCTCTTTAAAAATGTGAGAAAGAAGAATGAAATGTATTAAAGAAGGAAGTCTTTTCCTAAGAGAGTTCAGCTTCAAAAAGATTAAGATTAATTTAAAATATAAAATTAAGAAAATAGATATTTAAAGAGTGTGTTTTCTAATCCTGGCTTCTATGGTGATCTAAGAAGTGACACTCAGTAAACTTTCAGGATTGAATTTGGTGAGAGATGAGGGTTTCTTATTAACCAGAAACACTATTTTTCATTAATTAAATAAGTTACATAGTTGTGAGCAAAAATACCGTAAAGGCTTTGGAATTATGGTCTGTCATGTCTGGTCATGTGACCTTGAGCAAGTGTTCCTGAACTTCCATTTCCTTATCCATAAAAGGGGGATCATAACAAAACCTGTCTCATAGGTTTGTCCCAAGGGTTCAATGTATTGACTGCATGTAAAATCTTACAGTAGTGGCAGTTATATAGTAAGTGGTCAATAAATGTCAGTTACTAATTCACAGAGTTCATGTGAGAAGTAAATGAAATGATTTATGTATGTTATGCTGTTTGGCACACAATAAACACTTTATAAAGAGTAGCTATTTTATTAACTATCAATAACCTTCTCCTCAGCTCACAAAGTCAGGCAGCCTAAACAAGGTGAACAGATCAAAAATTTCAACAGTCTGGCCTGCCTCTGGTTAGCTAAACCACTCCCTCTGTTCCTTCCAGCTGTCTCTGGTCCACCAAAATACCTGCCCTCCTGGCACCCTAGCCCTCCATAAAATCATATGCAGATGACAAAGATAGTGTCTGCCTCAGGCCCTCTCCGTCCCACATGTCTTGTGATAACACATGAGCACCCATGTGGGGGAAAGCCCTAGGCCCACATAATGAACAGCTCCTAACCCAGTACATGCCACACAGAAAGTACTTAATATTTATTGAATGAATTAGTGAGTGAATGTGTGAATAAAACAACACAGCCTGGGGAGCAGTCTTACTCTTATATTCATTTGTTTCCAAAGTAATTGAAACACCAACTCAAAAATCCTACTCCTTCCTAGTTGCCCAAATCCTCACTCCCAAGGCAAGTCTTTATTGTATACCCTGGAATATATATGTAGGAAAAGTCTAGGAAAGATACAGACTATACTGTTAACACTGGTTATCTTCAGATAGTGGAATAAAAGATTAATTTTGTTTCATTGTTATACTTTTTGGATTTTCCCCTCAGTGAACTTGTTTTGTTTTTGAAAAGCAAAAACAACATTTTCTTAGAGATTATCTTTATAATGGGCATCTTATCACTTATGATTCATCTGTGTGAGATCATATCAGTTTTGTCATGGATATTTCTATGTTTTTCCCTAACTTTCCTTAATCTATAGAAGTAATAATTTTTCAGGGACATATAAAAAAAAATCATAAACTGAATGTGTTTTTCTCCTTTAAAGTTTGACAAATAGAAAAATGATTTGATATTTGGGGTGAAATCTGACTTCGGTTGTATAGCTACTTTCAGCTAACAGTTCTTTACCCCAGGGCAACAAGAGGGAGGGAGAGGATGGGATAAATGGCAGCAGTCCCAAATAGTTCACATTCAGCCTTCACGGCCGAGCACCAGAGTCCCTAGATCAAAGGCCTAGAAATGTCAAAATCCACATCACAGCCCAGGGTGATATGCTCCTAATCATATCATGTCTTAATTTGAGCAATTTTTCTCCTGGCGTGTTGTCAGTGTTTCTTTTTCCCATAACTGTCAGACAATATCCAGTCCATCTGTATGTCCATATGATGTGTATTCTACCTCTGCTCCATCCTCTCTATCTCCCTCTCTTTCCTCTTTCTGGTACTCTAAGTGAACTAAGTTAAACTCCATTGTCTCCATTTCTTTTATCCTTTCTTTTGTATTTTCCTTTTTCCACTTCTTCTTGATTCATTTTGGATAGTTTCCTCTGACCTATATTCTAGTCCACTATGTTGCTCCTTAGCTGTGTTCTATCTGCTCTCAAACTTATCTACTGAGTTCTTAATTTTGGTTATTATACTTTACAGTTATAGAAATTCTAGACTAGGAGCCAAGATGGTGGAGTAGAAGGATGCTCGTAGCTCACCCTCTCCCACAAATACACCAAAACTCACATCTACGGACCCACCCAGCCAACCATAGCATCTGCTGACTCCGACAGAACACTGCCCTCTTCAAAACACAAAGACACCACAAATCTGGTAGGAGAAAAGGAAAAAAGAAAGAAGGAAAAGCAAAACAGTGCAGGACCAGTCCCACGGGGAGGGAGTGGCAAAGGAGGAATAGCGCTCATTCGCTGACTTTCCCCTCT